AACTGAAAGATGATGAAATATGGAGCAACTTAAAATACTGAAAGCATAGAGGCTACATTTGACTTTCAATTAAAATTAAATGAGTTTGAGATGCTGAAAATGTATAGATTTTAGAATTTGAAATCACAGGATTAAGAACTCAAGCAGTGTACAGACGAATGATTCTTGGAACTAGACTTCATGAAGGAAACCAGAAAATGAAAGGATACTGCTCTCTCTCCAAACTTTCCTAGGGTTGGCATGCTCACTGTGTATCTGTATTTCCAACAGCTGCAAGTACACTGTAATTACAATGACCCAAGAAATAAAAAGCACTGAACAATCTGCCGACTTGATATGGTTAGCAGAGCAGGCCGTTTGGGAGATAAAACTTTTATTAAGAGTTGAATGAGGCTGAATTTGATTGGATGCATTGATAATTATGCTTTTTCTCTTCCAAACATTCTGCCTTGAAAGAAAGACTGATATTCTAGAAAATGATATTTGTTCTTTAAGGAATAGCAAACAAACCAAAAATCAAAGAGGGGTGGACATTTATCATACCACTCTCATGTTAACACAGTCAAATGGAGATTTAACTGCTAGGCAGGTAAATGGATTAGTGAGGATGGTCAAACTTCTCTTCCTGGGGGGTTACATTATCCAGCTCAGCCATCTCCACTGATGAAAATAACCTGGGAAATGCCAGAACTTTGCTTTGCTTTATGGCCTTGGGGTGAGCATATGTTTTGTTTTGCACACTTTATTACTTGTTAAAGAGATACAGCTCTGAAAATAAGTCTAGATTCATATGCCAAACATTCTCTGTACTCCATAGACAGTCTGAATTGATTAAAGTCTCATTCACCAGGTTTTCTAAAATGCAATTGTCCTCAACTCAGAAAAACAAAGAAACAGAACCTGCTAAGACTACAACTTCCCTTCTACTCCAGATCAAAGGACACTGTGAGGCAAAAAATAAATATTTGGAAGCAAAATTCAAGACAAGTCAAAAAAAAACCACAATTAAATTAATGTTCCTGTTTTTTTTTTGTTTTTTTTTTTTTTCAAATTTTTTTCCAGCCCAAACTGTAATTCCCCTGGTTAAAGGAATATATTGCTATATGCTAAGGATCTATAAAGCTCTTAAAGTTAAATATGTTGAAAATACAAATACAAAGGAGAATTTCCTGTCACTACAATCTGCTCTTCCTGTTTCAAGCATGCCAAATTGTGCAACTCTGATAAAAATATTTATAAAGCAGAAATGTGGAAGATAGTCCCTGGTAAGCCATGAAAGTGAGTCTTCCATTAAACTTGGGAATTCACTAAAGGCTAAACTGAAGGTCCTCACTAGAATCCAGTAGCTATTCTCTGGAAGTCCTGAATAATGAACAATAGAAGAGATCTCCTAACATGGAAAGGTATTGTGTACATCTTGCACTTTTATCAACTTGGGATAGTGTAAACACTTTCCCGTGGGAAGCACAACTTGACAGGACTCCTAATTTTATAACCTGATCTGAGAGCTAAAAGCTCCCCATAAAGATGATGCAAACGCCCTAATGCACAGCACATTAAGCCCTAATGAAACAGCAAGGTCCGCGTTGTTAATACAGGCCTTCATTCAGAGATGGTTTAAATATAAGCATAATAAGGCAGATTAAAAAGAAAGAGGCTGTAATTACTTTTTTAAGAACTCAATCTCTTGTCCTATTATTGGTCTACATGTGAGCCTCAAAGGCTGAACACAGATAGTAAAAATTACATGAGGTCTGACCAATCATGCCATATCCATTACTTTAAAACATGTAGGCAAAATAATTGATAAAAATACAGAAAAAAACAGAAAACTGGGAAGTTACCATCCCGGTCCAGTTAATTCTCTCTAAGCAACTTGAGTTGTTTTATTTTTAATTTTTGTCATTTTGCTAGATTTGGTTTTTGTCTTTGTGGGTGTTTGTTGTGTTTTGTTTTGCTTTGTTTGTTTTGTTTTGTTTTGTTTAAGAGACAGCTTCTTTTCTGTTTCCAGTGCGTGCTGCAAGACGCATGGCGAGAATCTTCTCAGACCAAGAAAAGGGAGCTGTGGTTTTACAATGGTTAAAGGTGACCATCACTGTACTGTTGTTTTTCCATCTACTTCTCAGTAAAAAGAAGTCTTTTCCACCATTTTTATAAAAATCTATAATTCCTTGGTCAGTTATTGGTACTCTATTTATATGCAAAAGTGAATATTATCAGTGTAATTTTTATAATATTTAATTTACAAATGTTCCTCTATATGTTATAAATTTTAAGTTTATAATTTATATTCAAATCTGAGAATTTGCTTAAATTTATTTAATCTTACAAACTGGATGTCTTGTATTTTCATTAAAGTCTGTTCAATTTATTTAAAACCATCCATGTCAAACCAAACTGTAGATCAAAGCCACAGAGTTCTTTAAGTCTTTTCTTCTGTTCCTTTTTCTTGGCCTAAAATGTCATAAATCTATCATTAACTGCCAACTGTTCTGAATGTTTTTAAAAGCCAGTTTAATTGAAAAGATTAATGAACTGTTCAGCCATTTCTGCCACTGGCTTAAATTATAAATTGTTATGAATAATTTCTGAATTGAATGCTCATAATAGTGATATTTACCAACAAACTTTATAAAAATATACACAAGCCATTAACTTATTACATGCATTATATATGTATGTATTTCTTACAAAATGCTGCATTAAAGAAAATTCTGTAGTCAGCATTTTATCTTGTACAGCTTTTAGTCTCTACATTTCACGCATCCAGAGAAAGAACCTATCAAAGAGCATTTCAACAGCACATGAGGGAAAGAAGGGAAAGGAACTTCAAATGTGCTTTTATTACTGAGTATATGCATGAAGAGAAGCTGTTCAGTGTTTATTTCAACATGACAATACTAATAAGTTAGAATAAGTTTGTTATCTTCAGGTATTTCTGCATCAGTATCTGATATATACACATATATATGTCATATGTTCAAAATTATCATTTGGCCCACAGTATACTCAGTGTACTCTTCGCAAAATTAACTGTCTTTAGGTTTGCTTCAAAACCCATTCATTTCTTTGAAATATTCACCCACTTTTTCCATGAATTACTTTCTTCTTCTTGTAGCAATATTAGTTTCTCGTCTTTGAAGACAAAAAATGATTTCAACAAGATAATCTTCCTGCCTGTTATTTCCTACCACTTTTGTCTTCTTTATTCTGTGTACTGCAGGGATTCGGTAGACAGCCCAGTCTAGGATCAGCTGTTTTATTTCCAGTTCTATTAGCTCAAACTCAGCTCACACATCTGTTTCATTTCTAAAATCACTGCCCAGGAAAAGTGTTCCACCCAAACATAAACTTTACTATAAATAACTGAGAACCTAACAAATAACTATTTGGGGGAAATGGAAGTGTGTTTAAAAATCTGAATTCTTCCCAACTCTGGGCCTCAGTAATCTTTTTAGAGCTTTCCTGACAGCCGAGATCAGCTTCCCTCAGAAGTTGTCCCCAGAGTGAACAAACTGAAACTCTGCCGGAAATCCAGGTATTAACATCATATTACTTGCTAATTATAAAACACCGTTTCACATACTGACATTATGCACTGCCAACCCTTTTATCTAAAACACGTATTTGCTTTCCAATCAGAATTTGACAGCAGAGTGTATCTGACATAAGACAGTGAAATGATCTTTAATAAGACAGCAGTTCAAAGCATGTAGCTTTCATGCATAATAACTATGTTGCCTTAATTTGCTGCTCCAGAGAAATAATTCTATTTGTGGGAATTCATAAAGAAAAATGGAATTTTTAAAGAGCTTTACCAAAGATGAAACTGGCTTTTTAAGTCTCCCCAATATCTCCCTTAAAGTGATAATGCCATTCTGACACTGAAAGGACTTGGAAATTTTTTATGATCCTTCTTAAAAATATTGAAAAATATTTTACTACCTGTTATTTGTAACCTCTTTCCACGTATTTCTTAACTGGCACTAGGTCAAGAGAGAGGTCAAGAAGAAAAGTGCTTTAGCTAGTAATTGATAAAAATGACTGATATTTCAAGGGAATTAGTAGGTTAAGTAATTATGATGAAAACCTATTACTTCTCTGATACATTGAGTAATTCTTAAAGAATGTTAACATTAAACATAACATGTTTTATAATCTCTCTGTCATGATAACACAATAAAGATCTATAGAATATAACGAAACCTAATGACCTTTGTCAGACTGACCATGAGTTTCAACTATGCTAATATTACTAAAATTAAATTTACACATTTCTTTATGTTTCATTCTAATTTAATGAAAAGATTTTTGTTTTTTGATTCTTTATATGCTGTCAACTAAGGACACAACAATAGATGAAAATGGTCTGCTACATTTAATAAAGTATAAACCTAAATAGTTACTAAATGCAATTATGAATTATTACCATTTTCCTTAAATGCAGAAAGAAGTGTTTTGCTGGCCTACAGCAAGGTAGTCTGGTGTCCCTAGTATGCACAACCATGATTTCTTTTTAATAAATATAAAATACTATTTCCAAATTTTCATTGGTAATTATTTTGATTTTTCAGGAGTATATTTCTGTGACCATCAATATGACCCAAACCTAATCGGACTGACTGTAAAATCCAATCTTAACCTAAGACACAGGACAGATCTTTACAGAAGAAAGATTACAGAAGAAGCCTTACAGTCTGAAACTGGAGCAAGGCATAAACTATTATCATGTGCAATCAGAGATCACTGTCATTGTTGGAAGGCTGAAAAAAATCCAATTACTCAGCCTGATGGAAATATTGAGAATTGTTCTTCTACGATTAAAGGCTAAAGATGAATCTGAGTACACATTTGCGTGAAGCAGCATGCAATGGGTCCATCTTTTCTATTGGATCTAAAAGCTACCATTTTGGTCTTGGGACCTTACTTTGAACGTGCAAATATGCATTCGCATTTCCTTACTTTTTCTCCACAAAGAAATCACAAGACAAAGCACAAACCTGTACATCATAGGTCCCATTTAGTAAAGCAGGCCGTGAAGAGTTGATGTCCTGCAGCACACCAGAGAGCACAGAGCGGTTGACCTTCTGGAAGTCTTTGGAATGGCTGAACTGCACCATGTTATGAAGGGCCAGGATTTTGCTGTCCAACTCAGCATCCTGCCTGGTGCGGTTATGCAGTCCTAAGTGATACTTTCGGAAGTGCTTAATCAGATCTGTGGGGTCATTGCCATAGTAACCATATCCACAGATATTGCATTTAAAGTCCTGAAGCTCTGGAGACAGAGGTGCCAGGTCTGGGTTGTCATTCACCAGTAAGTCAGTTTTAGGTTTACTCAGCCTTACACCCCCATCTGAAGGCACTTGTGGGTTTTTTGAGGCCACGGAAACTGGGCTCAAACCTTGACAATTGGCTTGACCACTCTGCACTTGCCCTGTTTCCTCAGTAGCCTTTGGTGACGTCTTATGCTCTTCTTTTGTCTCCAATGACTCCCCTGATGGGGTGCAGGCCATATCTTGAGGGTCATCTGCCTCTGCTCTTTGAGGAGACTTCAAGGGCTCACAGACTCCCCCAGAAGCAGGAGATGAGAAAGCCAACATATTTCTCTCTGTTACCTCATCATGGGGAAAGGAGGCAAGGTTTCCTCCCTTACTGGGGCTTTCATAATTGAAGCCAGCCTTCTCACTCAGGACTGAGCTTTTCAAGTCCTTCTTGCTGCTTGAAGATGGATCTTGGCCATGCGAGCTATGATCCTCCTTATTATTCAGTTCTGCAACATCACTCTGATCTGTATTTTCTGACATCTGATCTGCAGAAAATTCTTTGTTCTTTCCAGATATCTTGCTTTCTGTACCTATTGGCTCCAGGGTCTGACCCTCGCCTTCACTAGCAACGTTTCTCAGAGGGGGATTCTTTTTCCGGACCATATCTGTGAACATATAGTGAAAACAAAGATGCACAGTTATTGGAAGATTACAGACAGGTAATGCAATCTAGAATGTTTTACTTAGTCTATTCAAGGTTTTCTAAGGTACAGGAAAAAAATAGCTCCTCTGGGTAAAAATATGCTTTAAAAATAGCAAAAAGATAAAGAGAGTTGGGCAAAGAAGCAAACAATTTTTAAGTGGAACTATTCGACACAAAGATTGGCTGATTTATTATTTTAAACTGTTTTATGAATATTAAAGGACTCATTATTACTACTGACTTTATCCTTACTATTATTCATTCTCCCCCATCATATTTTTTACCCAATTTCTTCAACTACAGGCAATAATAAGCACACAATTACATATTTATACATGTTTTATATATATGTGAAGATATGTTTATAGAACATTCACAAACATTTTAGCCTTCGCAAAACTCATACTGTATGTTTATGCCCATGAAAACATATGTACTTAAAAATATAATTAGCAAACTGGAATTTAATACTGTTATTCTGATCAACACCATTTCAAATGAAATAGCTTCATATAAAAAAGACACAAACAGCCATGTTACAAACAGAGTGAAAACTGCCCAGTTACTTCCAGGATAGAGGATAATGAACATTTCAGTCCTGAGCTACCAACAGTTCTAAAAACAACATGAGACTGTCCTGGAAGTTGGGAGGAGGGCCCGGCCTGCACCATGGTGGTCAAGTCAAGTTTCACTGGGACTCTGTCCAGCATGGTGAGAAAACAAGCTAAGCTCTAGGTTTCTAGGCTTCAGAACTGTATGGAAGTTGATGATGGTAGCTTGAACCATGTGTCACTCTCATTCTGAAGCTGAAAATGACAAGATCTCAGTATTTCCCTATAGTATTCTTCCCTGCTAATTCCACTGTGCTTCAGGACTCAGTGATGTCAGTGACTGAACTCAAAATTAGCCTGCAGGGACAAATTCTTGCATAGGAATCAAAAGAATCAGAAGTATAAGAATAAAGAGAAATGAGAAAGAAATAGTGTCCTATTAAAGACTGCATTCTCCAAGGCCAGTTGAGAACAGAGCTCTATGGCTTTTGTTCCTCAAGCTCTAAGTTGGAAAACCCAAGTGCTGCTGAACTTACCCCTCAAATATATCCTGAAAATCTACCTGTGACTTTCTAATAAAACAAGCTTTCTTTATTAACAGACTCTGCTCTGAGGACCAGTTTAACCTTGGTGTAACTTGCTCTGTTAAACTGGGAATACCCAAGTTAATAACACGGCTTAGCTGTTTTCATCTGTACCTCTTCACAAATGCTGTAGAACCACAGTGGCTTGGGAGACATGGGTGGACCTTTGAGTCTGAAAAGCTAGTCAGGCAAAATTTTGACAAGATGAATCACTGAATCAGGATAATGTCCTGGGTGAATAAGGAATCCTTTATGAGGTGAAATTTCACTTGAGTAAATAATATCAAAAATAGTGTAAAGTACTTTAAAAGTACACTGTTCTCTTTCTACGCCAATAATGTCATTCGACTCTCTTTAGAATCTCCTTCATGGAACAACAAAAACAAAAATAGAATAAAAGAGAAAAGTCAGAAAGTTAAAGTCATGCACAATGTCAACCTGCCTGCCCTCCTATGGGAAGATAGTTATCTTGTCACCCCCATGAGAGCATAAAAGTAAACAAACCAGGGAATCTTCTTTGTAGAAGGAAGCACCAGTTAACTATGTGTTTATAAATTTTGAGTATCAATATCTTTATTGATGACAACATTTTAGCACACCTCAATTCTTCTGTTGGATGTGGCTCTGGCAGCATGGGAACTTATAAAAACATGGAAGACTGCAGGGCAATTGTACTGGTTGCCAAGCAAGGGGAAAAAAATTAAAGGAACCTAAGAAATCAATTACCATTTAAATGATAAATTTAAATAAACATGCCATTTTTAAGCCAACTATGGTGACACAATACAGGAAACCCAGCAATTCAAGAGTCTAAGAAGAGGATCGCTTGGGCCCAGGACTTCTGGTCCAAACAGAAGAACTCAGTGAGTCCCCCACCTCAAAAGTACATGTCTACATACATTTATAAACACATGTAGGTGAACATTTTTTATATGGGTATCTTTGTGTGTGTATGTATTTATAGTCAAACTTGGCCTGCAGGAATAGATGCTCTTGCTCACAATGTAAAGCATCCCTACCAAGAAACAAGACAGATTTTTCTTGGATCAATGCTGGGAAAACTACATTATTTGTGTGTCAAATTTTCTGCTAATGTAACTAACATCTAGCAATGACTAACTGATATTATGTGAATGAAGTTACCCAGAAGTCCATAAAATCCTATACAGAAGGCATAATGTCTTAGGAAATGAAGAAGAACTCATAATTCCTTCCAATAAGTTTATCCTATCAAAATGTAAAGAAAATGGTTTATGCCCGTATATTAATGTCTAAGTGCCTTGGGAAAATGGTAACATTTTAAATAACAAGGGAACTAAAAAAAATACTTAAAAATGAATTGATCTAAGTGCATTCATATTGAAAAAAGAAATTAAACAACATTTCATTACAAAGAAAAGTTTTAGATCTTGCTGGTTTATTGTTATCATGAAGAAATGTGGTGGATTAAAGGTTAAAAATTACTCCGTCAACATCTTTAGTCCCTAATAAAAATGTAATTTAATTAAATTATCATCTTCCTAAATTTCAGTCCCTTCTACCCAGGAGGAGACCTTTAGAAAGCATATGACTCACTGACTCCTTACACTGAACAGAGTCCCTAATAATATACATCGCAAAGAATGTTGAACTTCTAAAACTTCAAAGAAGTATTAGAAAGGTCATTTGGGTTTTATATCGTGCTGTAGGGGGTAGGGGTATCTTCCTTTAAGTTACTGATTTTAAAAAAATATGGTTAATTTATTTGACTATACTTTGAAGTAGTTATAGAAAATTTTTTTGCTGGAATTATATCATCATAATTTTTCAGAGTGACATTATTATGTAAATATAAGCACATTTGTGATACTTCTAAGTGGAAGAAACTCCCCCAACAAGCCATAAGTTAGATAGCACAGGACTCTAGCCACCCTCCAGTTATTATCTCTAAGACAAATAACAGATTGCATGATGTTTTACTGTGTGCCAAGAACGTTTCCAGTGAACATTTCCCTTGAAAAAAATAGATCACATACTTGTAAAATCATACCCAGCATTGACTTCATAAGGCATGTGGGTGTCTTTAGAGTGCTTTCTACAAGTATTAATTCTATTAGTCAACTAGCAGGAAGCTAATTGTCTTAGAAGATGCTCAGAGGTCACAGAAGACATTTTGAAAGCTGATCTGTACATCTGTAAAACAAAACAAAAAATATTTCCTTCCTAGTTAATGTGCACGTTTTGATGTATCACACCTAAAATATATTAATATGCCAGCACCATGGGCTGTTGAAAAATATCAGATAAAAGCCTAGGAGAACCTGGGGCAGAATCATTTCTTCACTGGATTTTAAATAAGCATCTGGTGGAGGAACATCATATAAAATATTATAGTCCAAGAACCATTTTTCACAATACACTGATGTGTTGGTAAAATTGCTTATGACTGTCGTACTTACCAAAACTGGGTGGGTATGGGAATCTTAATTTGTACACCTCAACAGTGGCTTTTCTAGTGAAATTTTAAGGCATTTACAATACACAATCAGATACGTGAGCTTTGCTCATCATCTCTGACCCTTCTACTTTAGCATGTATCTTTCTATTCTATAACAATATAACACAAAATATCAAAAAATAATAATAATAATTGCTATGCCTGGTAAAGTAGATCCACTACAAAACAATAGTTTTTAGACAATGAAGTTTAAAGTGAACTGAACAGAGGGGCTACAAAATGTTCAGGTATGTCTTCAAGGTAATTGTCAGATGGATAATTAATATTTGATAATAAAATCATTCACATTCCCACCATTTTCCATGTGTACAAACACAAATGACCCTTAATTAGACTGACTAATGTGACTGCCAAGATACTTAAGATGTTATGATTAACTTCTTCAGATTATTCTAAGATATATGATATTCCGTCTCCAAAAATCACAAATTCTACTTTTAAGTAACTGTATTTCATCCTAAATTAAATCAACAAATTAAAAGCATTCTTAGAGTTTATAGCTATTTCAAAAATTGTAGGATAATGCGTTGTGTTACAATATTACTTAGAATTATACAGTAGAAATAATCAGTATTACAGCTTAAGACACAATTCTTTAACTCACACTAATTAAAATAGTTAAATATGTTTTTTAGAAAAGGAATCTTTTGTACAAGTCTGAATCATATTCTCAAGATGAGCCGTTTACAGAAAGAGGAATCTGAGTTTTCTATTATGTAAAGTAGTGTGATATGATTCACCACAAATATTTTAGTTCTAGTTCATATATCTATACACACATTTGAATGCATATAAAATATATACACATATGCTTAAGAAATAGTTACTCCAAATAGCTATAGAATCAATAATCAAATTATCAGACCAGAAAAATCAATGCTCAAGAAATTTAGAAAAAATCTTAGCTCACGTATCTACCTAATGCAGGGGCAACTGGGATTTGTTTCCATTATATGACAAACTCATTGAAAGTAAGAGCTACAAAGTCTGTGTGTTTTGTATTACCTTGGACTCAAACAAAGAAAAAGATAAAGACACAAAAAGGAAGGCAGGCATGGATATCACATGTCCAGTTTCTGTATCTGATTCATAACATGTATAGAATCAAGGTAAATCCCTCCTCTTTTCTGAGTCTCTTTTCTTATCTGTACAGTGAGATAATTAAAATAAAATAATTTTGTTTCCCTTGCTTTTTTCACTATAACAGTTCTGGTTAATAGCACTTTAGTTTTATTTAAAAAAATCCTTTTTCCATTTTGTTTGAAATGTGATAAAATATTAAACCAACAACTAAAGGTGACTTACATACCACTGATACCACCTTGCACTC